GAGACAATCTAAAACAGAAAAGGATTAAGATAAACAGGACACTAAAAGGGGAAAGGTTAGGAAGAGAATGATGGCATAAAGGTAGAATTGAGATAGGGTAAAATGATGATAAATGAAAGATAAAAATAGAATGTAGAACACTAATCCCAAAGTAAAATAAAGAGAAAATAAAATGACACTTAAAAAAAGGTAAAATATTAGTAATAATAACACTGACTGAAAATAAAATGTAATAATTCAAAAGGTAAAATCAAGTGAGAAAAAAAGAAAAAAATTATTTTCTTAAGTAAAATATGCAAAAATTAAAAACAAAAAAACAAAAATAATATTAAAAAATAAAATGTGCAATAGTGAAGGTCATTCACTTCCTCTATTGTTCTGTTTGGCACTCCTGTTTCCTAGTCCTGACACTATTGCATTTTCCTGTGTTTCACTGCTCTTCAGTCTTGTGAGCCAGTCCTAATTTTAAGAAGGCAGTGTCTTAATTTTTCATACTCCTTTATTTTTTATTGCACAAGAGTCAATTTGTGATTCAGCCTTTGGGTGACAGTGTTTCTGGATTGATTTTCGGGTCAATCTATGGCCTCTCTAGCCTTCTTTCCCTGTGCACTTAATACTGGTTTGTGGAGGGGGGCTGTCTCAGAGCTGGCTCTCCGATGGTCACTCCCCACTCCAATCCCCAAGTTCCAGTAAAACAACTTCCCCTTGGTATTCCCCAACTGGGTTATCCTATGTATTTGGGCTTAGTAATCAGAAGCAGAAAAAGCCCAAGTGTGTGGACAGTGGGTCTGTGCAAGTCTAAGCAGCCTGCACTCCCTTGAAATTCTTAGGCTGCCCCTTCGGGTCAGATCAAAATAGGTAGCTTTCCAGAGATCCCTTCTATTACGGTGTTTCCCCGAAAATAAGATATCCTCCGAAAATAAGACCTAACACATGGAAAGATAAGATATCCCCTGAAATAAGACCTAGTGCAACTTTGGGAGAAAAAATTAATACAAGACACTGTCTTATTTTCGGGGAAACGGGGTAGCAGCTCCAAGAACCTCCCTCCACATTCAGGATCACACCAGCCCCAAAGCCACGGATTTTTCTAGGCACAGGCTTCCCTCCAGCTCTCACAAAACACGTGTTTCTTTCTCCCCTGGGACCAGAGACTTCACCTTATCCCAGGCAAAATCTGACCCCTCCCCTCTCCGTGGTGGAACAAAGAGCTCCTTTGAATCTGCGTGTTTGTGCTGATTGGGGACCAGTGTTCTGGGGCTCACAGCTGTTTGGTGGTCACCACAGTTGTGGATTTTCAGGCTTTCAATATTATCCACTTTCCCTTTTAAGAAGGCACAGTTTCAGCATCCAAGACTTTAGCTCCAAGAGGGGGCCCAGCTGCAATGTGGGCTGCCAGGTCAGGGGAACCCCTTCCAGCAGTCCCCCTCTTTCTCCTGGAGTTTAGATGTCCCTTAATTGCTAAGAAACACTCCCCATGCAACCATCAGCTGTTCTTTCTTTCTGCTCCAGGACAAGGCTCAGAACATGTCTGTCTATTCTGCCACCATTTTTCTCCCTCCTTACTTTTTTTCATTTTATTGAATTTATTGAGGTGCCTCTGATTAACAACTTATATAGGTTTCAGGTGCACATTCTACAATACATCATCTATACACTGCATTGTGTGTTCATCACACCAGTTTATCCTATGCCTTTTGATTGGAGAAGTCAATCCATTCACAAAGTAACTATTGGCAGATAACAACTTACTAATGCTATCTAGTTTTCTGGCTTTTTTGTAGTTCCATTTTTCCTTTCTTGCTGCCTTCCTTTGTGAATTGAAGATTTTCCATAGTGTGCTTTGATTCATGCTCTTTATCTTTTGTGAATCTGTTGGGGGTTTTTGCTTTGTGGTTACCATGAGGATTACACAAGACATCTTACAATATAATAGTTTATCTTATGTTGATTACATCTTTGGTTATATTTAACTGCAGGTTTCCCTTACAAGAAGAAAAAGAGAAAAGACAAAAAGCTGGTCTATTACGTGAAAAAAATAGGGTGCAGTTAACAAAGAAAGAAGAGCACTCTATTAAAGAAGTTGAAATACACCCACAACTTGAAACCACCATTAGAACACAAGATATGCCACTTGAGATTATAAGAGAGAATGAGGTATATTTATCTTTGGGGAAAATCTCTTATTTCTAACAGTGATTCATCAATATTTAGATCCTTGTCATTTAATGAATATTATTACATTTAAAAAACAAAAACAAAAAATGTTCTCATTCTAGATGTGAATTGTGACATTTGTTATTTAAACTATTATTAATTTATTGCTATCCTTGGCATCTAATAGATACTTGTGAATGTTTACTAAATGAAGAAATGGAAAATAAGTTGAGCCTACCTATTGACATAAATGTTAATTCTGGCTCTTAAAAACTCTTAACATGCAGGCTAAATTGCCTAGAGACTGTGATGGAACTAGTGAAATGTTCATAAAGAAATTTTATTTCAGAATACTGTATTTTTGCTTTATGACAAATGTAGCTATTACTTACAATTTTAGTTTTTCATGAAAAGGAAAGACCCTTGTGCTTAAACGGGCTGCTTTCTTTACACAGTTTGTTTAAGGTATTGCTCTAAAGCTTTGGACTTTTTTTTGTTTTAATAGAGTGAGACCAAAAACTAAATTAAATGTATCCCTAGGTTGTAGAAGAGCAAAATTACACTCAGAGGCAACCTTCTTCAGAACAGAACACCAGAATATTTCAAGATGGAATTCTGACCATACGCGTTTACAAACCAAAGGTGATAGAAATAGATCATAAGAAAATAAATTCTGAGGTAGTTTATTTAGTCATTTGCAAATGTACCAGTATGTGAGTATGTGTGAGTTTGTATATATTTAACAAACAATACTGTACAATGGAAACTATAAGGGATTTAAAAAGTGTGTGTGTGTTAGTGTATGAAAGAGAGAGAGAGAGAGAGAGAGAGAGAGATGGCTTTTTTGATCCATTGGATAAAGTGATATTGTTAATTCAAATCCATTTTTTTTTCAAGTAGTCACATTCACAATGGCCTCTTCCAAAGGGAAGGCTTTTAATATTTTCCATAATAATTGATGTGTTGTCTATGATATCAAAGATTTTGCTAGTAATAATAGATGTTTCTGATTTTGGCAATGGTTTCATTTCCTGATATATTAATATAGAAATTAGTTTTCACTTCCAGTGATGGTATGGAGGAAAGTAATAGCAGGTTCAGAGATCACATTTTAGATGTCATTCTTCTACTTTTGAGAAGGGACTTCTGAAGAGAATGCAAGCTATAATATATATTTAGTGATAATTTTTTGTTAAGTATTTTAGTGTATTCCCCCCATTTCATATTTAATACTATTTTAAACATCATGAACAAGAAATAAAAGTTATTGAAGCAACAAATAATCTCATGATTTTCTAAGAAGACTGTAAATTTTATCCTACTTATCATTTGTTTTTCAAAACATAGGCTTCTTTTGTGTTTCTATATCCACACTGGAGGAGAACTATGGGTTGGTGCAAGAGCACGAATTGTGGAGTCTGAAAACCTGGGGAAAATTCTGAACTTGCTTATATTTTAACCACTCCATTGCAGATTGTGATAACTGAATGTGTTTGGTCAGAATGAGGTCATTGATGGATTTAGAAGTGCTTAGGAAAATGCTTGATTACCAGTTATTAATAGAGGTAGTTTTTATAACTGACTATGAAAGTATTAGAAAAGTAGAATATGTAAGGGATACTACTGGGGGGAAAAGAATTTTAGGAAATTTAGTTTGTCCTAATATTAGTATGGTTAATACTCTTACTGTTGGGTAACTATATGTTCAGACTCTCATATCAACTTGTAAGAGTAGAGTTATTTGAATTTTAATTAAATTTATTCTGGGCTTGTGATAATTTAGAAAAATCCTTTCTAATTCAGAGACTCTTAAAATTCTCTTGTGATTTTTTTCACTTAAAAATTCCTCATATTGCCGAAACAGGTTTGGCTCAGTGGATAGAGCATTAGCCTGCCGACTAAAGGGTCCCAGGTTCTATTCTGATCAAGGGCATGTACCTTGGTTGTGGGCATGTCCCCAGTGGGGGGTGTGCAAGAGGCAGCTGTTCGGTGTTTCTCTCTCATCAATGTTTCTAACTCTCTATCCCTCTCTCTTCCTTTCTGTAAAAAAAAATCAATAAAATATTTTTTAAAATTCATCACATTATATTACACTTTTGAACTTTGGAGAATTTATGCTTGTAAAAAGTTAGAGGTTTGGATCCAACTGTATTTTTTTCCAGTGGGCTATCCAATTATTTCAATTTTTTATTATAATTACATAGGTTATTCTTTAATTTCAGAGACTATCATGACATGTCATTTCAATGTTTCAGCTAAAAGTCTCCTTTGTGTTACTTAGGTTTCTGAGAGTTCTGACAGAGAAAAAAGTCTATTGCATGAAAATCGCATGTTGTGGGATGCAATTGCCAAATTAACACTGGATATGGACACAATAAAAAATCGAACCCAGGAAATGGAAAAAAAATATATTGAGGAAATTGCAATTGTCAAAGAAAGAAATGATCTTTTTGAAAAGAAAATAAAAGAAATGGTATTTCAACACAATGCAGAACTTGAAGCTCTGGGAGCTGAGTGTATAATGCTAAGCCATAAACTGGAGAGTGAACAACAAAACAGAGGCAGACTGGAAGCAGAGGTTGAATCATACCAGTTTATGCTGGCTACCATTGTACAGGATAATGAGCATCGTCAGGCATCAGAAAGAGACCTACAACTTGCTTCCAAGATAGCAAGAGATGAATGGTTGTGTTTATGGGACAAAATTAATTTTGAAATGTCTAACCTAAAACGTAAAAATGAGATTCTTTCTCAACAACTTTCTAAAGAAGGAGGTAAAATCAATAGCGTAGAAAATGAGCTGCGGCACACAACAGATGCTCACCAAGAAGGGACATTGCTTTTAGAAAGAGATCTCAGTCAAAAACAGTGTCAAACGGAGGAAACTGAACACGGGTATGAAGAGGAACAAGGTAAAGTGGATAAAGACATTGCAAAGCAGGAATCCTTACTGGAGAGGGTATCTCACCTGCAGATGGAAAATATGCTGCTTCACCAGCAACTAGAGCAGATTCACAACAACTCTGACAGGAAAGGAAAGACAGAAATTAACATCCAAGACCAGATTCTGGAAATCACAAAAATATTTGATGATGAAAATAAAAATTATGTTCTTATGGTGAATGAAATGATTAAGAAGCTAATCAATGAATGGCATCATTTAAAAGAAATTATACATCAGTATGAAAATGATAATGTAAAAAGAGATGTAAGTATCTAGACAGTTAAGCATTTTTCAAATTTTCTAAGAGAAAATTTAGAGTAACATTTGATGATGGCTACATGTTGAATCTAATTGAATATTAAAAATGTAGATATTATGGCCCTAGCTGGTTTGGCTCCGTGGATAGAGCATTGGCCTGAGGACTGAATGGTCCCAGATTCAAACCTGGTCAAGGGCAAATTCCTGGTTGCAGCCTCAGTTCCCAGTAGGAGTGTGCAGGGGACAGTCAGCAATAATTCTCTCTCATCATTGATGCTTCTCTCTCTCCCTCTCCCTTTTTCTCTGAAATCAATTTAAAATATATATTTTAAATAATGTTCAGTGTATAAGTGTGTTTGCTCTATCACCTTCAAAGCAGACGATGTATCCAGTAGATGAACATTAAACCTGAGAGGTGTTTTGTTTTGAGCAAAGACATTGTGTTGCCCATGAAATGTTAATAGGTTACATTATAGATTACTAATAGATATAAATTTATATGAATAATTTAGTCTTATATTAATAGAATAACAATTTTTTCTCTGTCACCAAATTTAAGCTATTAGGAATTAGGTAAATGGAAAGCTCTACCTAAAATGAGTATTTTGAAATTAAGACACAAATGGATTAATTTGACAGCTAAATTCAGATTGCCCAGATGAACTGAAATGTAGATGCTTTATCATATATCACCTTTCTTTAAAACTTGCTATACATTTTAATTTTTATAATGTTATTTTTATTCATGCCAATTTGAATTAAATTTGGAAATATTTCAGTCTCCAGTAACATATTCATATGACCTCTCAACTCTTTTAAAGGCATATACTTTTCATTAAATCATAATTCTGGGACAAATGTAATGAGTTTTAGAAAACCTATACTTGATTTAATCTTTCCACTAATATTTACAATTTTCTTTGAATATTTTTACAAATAATGTGCTCAGGTTTCTCATTTTGAGGCCTAATTATTATCATTTGGAAATAAGTTTGTCCAAGACAGAAGGAATTGTAGCTCTCTGTGATTTATTAACTTGGCATTGGATCTTCATTTCAGATTAGTGAGTGGGGGAAGGGTTTATGTGTATCAGGGAGGGAGGTGAAGGTCTGGTTACTGAGGGCCTTGAAGGTCATTTGAATGAGTTACTTTTCTTCTAAGTTATGAGCCTAGTGGAAGGATTGGAACAGGGAATTGAATGTGTGAGGAATTCTGAAGTAAATTGGAGCCACTGGTTAAAAAATAAATAAAAAGATAAAAGTTTCCATAATATTGAATTTACTACCACTTGATCCACCTACATGCCCATTTCTCTTTGAGATGTCAGTAGATTGTATAGCTTTGAGATTTATGGGGAGGGGGATGAGAGTGGGGCTGAATCTGCTGTCTGATTCGGCAGGAGGGTTACATTTTCTTTGGCTTTAACCCGATTAAGTGAAAAGAAACGTGCACATGAGGAAAAGAAGGTGAATTGATGTAGCTGATGATATTTTTCCAGTCATAGATTATTGTCATAACATTATGATACCAATATATGACTCTAACCAGGTACACCCAGGGTGGGGAAAAAGTAGGTTTATACATTTTATAGTTTTTTGCATGGAGAATAATACAATAATTAGTTAATAGCAATCCAAGAATAAACTGTTTCATATACTCACAACTGTAAACTTTTTGTCCTATGCTTTATATGAAGTTATGTATTATTAACATAATTTAATAATAATGTGATTTATAAAATCAGTAACAGAAATATCTTACTAGGCTACTGAGAAAAAACTTCAACAAGAACTGGCTGACACCAAACAAAAACTATCTACAATAGAGGTTTTTATGGAGATTGAATCACGTCATCGTATGAATTTAGAAGATAAGAAACAAGATTTCAAGAACAAATTAGATCAAAGCAGAAGTCAAGTATGTATGAAATTTAACCTGCCATCAGTTAAACTATAGCTGGTTAAATAATATAGTGTTTTAGGATACCACTTATCATGGCAGCTTTCTTATGTATTTCATTGTGATTAATTTATTGTAACTGTATTATTTTTATAGTGCTCTTATAACTGGCTTTTATTCTGCCATTTGTATATATATTTTTTAATATTTACCATTAGGAAAGTTGAGAATTATGTATCATTCTTTCATTCTTCATAGAAGTCAAGAGGCTTTGTTTTCTACTAACTAATATTGCAGATCATGCCATTAGAGAAGCAACCTCACAAATGGTTTTCAGATAAGCTCTCCTTGGGCTTCCTGGAGGTGTCGGGGTGTTGTAAGACAGTGGCTTTAAGACTCTTACATTCTGAAAATCCTTGAGTAAACATGTAAATGTTTCTGAGGCCTTAGGGTTTCATATGTCTTGGCTTCATCCTTAGATCATGTATTCCTGGACACCCTGGATTTGATGTTAGCCCAGAGCCATTTCTTTATTTTAGCACTAGAGGCTCGGTGCATGAAATCATGCACAGGTGCAGTCCCTAGGCCAGGCCAGCAATTGAAGAGCACATGTCTGGCATGGAAGGGCCCTGGGCAGCACCTGGGCCCTCAGGCCTTTGTGCATTCCCTTCTTCCTGATTAATGGTGCCTGAGTCCCTACAAGGAGATTCAGTGAGCATAGCCGGATGCACAGGCCCAGACATAGTATGGGACTCTGGGCTGCCCTGGAGGTTTGCATGGATCTGGGCAGGCAGCATGAGCTCTTCCTGCTGGTCCCACAGACTGGCTCCTGTACAAACCCTTGGGGAGCTTGGCCAGCCCCTGTATCCCCGGCAGCTGTGGCCCGGCTCATCCTGAAGACACCGTGTGTGAGCCCTGGTGTTCCGGGGAAGGGTAGCTGAGGGAGTGACAGTGAGCTCAGCAGAACCGCACATTCTCACTGTACTTCCATCCCCATCCCCCCTGCCCTCAGGTAGCCAGTGGGAAGTCACAGCCCCATAGCATAGCGAGCAGTAAACTCCTGGTCTCCCAGTCAAATCACCGGCTGAGGGGGACAATTTGCATATTAGGCTTTTAGTTATATAGGATTATATGACAATTGGACCTGTGGGAGAAGCTATAAATGGGAAAAGGGTATTTAAAATCCTTAGGTCCTGTTTCTTTGATATTTAATTAGAGGCCCAATGCATGAAATTCATGCATGAGATAGGGGGTGTCCCTCAGCCCAGCCTGAGCCCTCTCTAATCTGGGACCCCTCGAGGGATATTCAACTGCCCATTTAGGTCCAATCCCAATGGGACATCCCTGGGGGGAGGGGGGGGGTTGTCAATTTATAATATGCAAATTGACAGTACCTCTGCTGCACCCACAAGCCACACCCACAAGCCAATCAGGAGTGAATATGCAAATAAACCCAACCAAGATGGCTGGGGCCCAGGGCCATGGAGAGTGGGAGGGAGGCTTGGGATTCCCCAGCAATTTTAACCCAGTTTGCAAGGGCTCCCTGGGGCTATGCAGTCTTTTTTTCCTCTGCAAAGATCAAGGCTGGGTGCACTGCACTAGTTGCTCTGTGGGTGCTGGGAGGGGCTGGCTCTTCAGGAGAAACATGTCTGCTTAGCATTGGAGAGTCCAGAATGTGCCAGTGCCAGATGCCTGGTCACCTTTCCCTATCTTGCTCCTCTCCCCAGTCTCCACAAATCTGTTCCTTCACCTGCACCGTAGCCTTGGTGAGTGTTTGTAATTGAAAGGACCTATGAACTGGATTTAGTGAGTAAAAACAGAAAAAATATAAGATTTTTCTTTATAAGAAACCACTGCGAGTTTCTCTCCCCCCTCATATCATGTGGCTCAGGCAGTTCCTCAGGCTGTCTTTCTGGGTGTGGTCTCTCACGGCTATGGACTTAGATCTAGATTCCCTGGCTGCCAGCTGTCCTGAGGACCCCCTCCCACAGTCGAGGTTTGTGTGTCCCAAAGGGACGCGGACTTGGTGCAGCACAGGTTCTTTCTAAACCTCTTGTCCCAGTGGTCGAGAATCTTTCTCTCAAGCCCAGATCCTGGATCCTACCATTTTCCAGGTGTCCTCTGTCACTTCCAGCCATGGTTTGTCTCACCAGCTATTTAATTAGTTGATTCCAGGTGGATGTTATTTGATTTAGTTGTTTGTTCTATCTGTTCCATGTGAAGGTGCTGGACACGTCTGCCTATTTGGCTGCCATTTGGAAAACCAGCACTCTTTCTTATTGTCAGTACCTGTGCCAGTTGCTTATTGCTGCTTAATAACCACCTCCAAACCTGTGTCTTACAGTAGAATTTACTTGTTCACAAAACTGCAGTGAGGCCAGCTCATTTCTGTTCCACTTGCCACCAGCTGGGATGACCTGAAGCTGGGAAGTGGAATCATCTAAAGGCTTGTTTGTTCACGGGTTTGTCAGGTGCAGCGGGCTTTTGACTGGGATGCTCACTGGGGCAGTCTCAGCAGGACACCTGTATGAGGACTGACCACGTGGCCTGGGCTCCTTCCTTCTTCACAATAAAGTGGGGGCGGGTTCTCAGGGTGAGCTTCTTGAGGGAGAGAGTCAGATGGCACCCAGACATAGCAGTCACACAGCAGTAACCATTATCACTGAGATACCAGCAAGCTTGTTATTGTTGATGATGTTTTGTTTAGTATGTTCCCTTATTTTGTGGGAAGTAACAAAGAAATTTAAGATAGCATTGTTGAATTAAGCCCCCGCCCCCACTTTTTTGGTTCTAAAAAATGTAGGGCTTATGTTGCTAAACTTTGACAGTAAGAGTTTTACTTTTTCTGTCATCCAGGGAATCATTTCTTCTTGTAATACAATTAAATTAGCATAAAATGTTTCTGGTTCAATAAGAGACCTAGGGCATTAGAATCCTAGGGCATATTCATAAGATTAATTAATTACTCTTATTTTGAAAGTCTTACCTT